TAAGTATAGGTATAAGTATAGGTATAGGTATACATTTCTGTATATGTATATGTATATGTATATGTATATGTATACATGTACATGTATATGTATATAAACATATGTGTATATATATAAACAATATGATATACAATACAAGTAGAAATACACAAATAAACAAATAAATATATACATACATTACATGTCATGTTGCGCATAATGCAGATTACATATTATATTGCATGTCATCTCTCCCTCTCTCTCCCTCTCTCTCGCTCGCTCTCTCTCTCTCTCTCTCTTTCTCGCTCGCTCACTCGCTCGGTCAGATCAAATATGACATGCACATACACACGTGTACTTACGAGAAATCTACAGTGCAGTAGCCTTGACCAGGCAAGGTCCATCCTGGCGTGCATCTGCACGGTGGTCCTCATCATCGGTTCCAGCCTCCTGCAAGCATGGCATGTGCTTTGCGGGAGCATGATTACCGCAGCTCGGCTGCTGTTCTTGTTGTTGCTGCTGCTGCTGTTGTTGTTGCAGTGGCTGTTGCTGCTGCTGCTGCTGCTGCAGTTGTTGCTGCATGTCTTGAGACGAATCAGTGTCATCAGCGGTTGGTTTAGTCCAGAATCTCGCTCGCTGACCCAGCGCCCTTACTCGGCTCGGGCACAGCTTTGCGTTTGAGCCGTGGGGCGGGGCCTCTGACAGCAATCGGGAGGCACGGGGGGAGGCTTTTTCTCAAAATTCAGTTGTCTGCAAAAACGTCCGTTGCAGCACGGAGTTTGAGTGCAACCTGATGAAGACATGTTGTGTTCTGCTGCTGCGCGGCTCCAGCTTAAGTGCTAAAGGCGATCGAGAAGACTGTGCCCGACAATTTATCTTCCTTCACATTGGTCGAAACTGCCTTCATTCGCTGAGGGGCTGGTGTTTTACAACTCACGAGCTAGTGTCATTCACGAGCACAGCTGAACTCGTAGAACCTCGGTAGAACTTTGTGACTTTGTGTCGTGTCGACACCGTCCAAGAGGGCGATGGTTCCGGAGGATGATGCCTCGTGCCGCAGCCGCAGAGATGCGGATCCGTCTGTCCTTTCATATAACATGCGTCACTGGATCGGTGTAGACAACTATCTTTCCACAAAAACTCTGTAGGCTATTTGCCTCTGCCAGTGTTCCGTGTGTCAGCCTCTCCCGTCGGTCTATCGGAATGTCTCCACGTGCCTGCCGGCTCATCTGGCTGTCTTCCTGCTCGTGTTTGTGTTTCCCTATCTGACTTTCGTTGCTTCTTGTATCTCCATCTGCATCTCTCCAGCTTAACTGCGGAGAAAATGTATCGCTTCACTGAGGAAAGCAGCATTCCAAGAGCTGTTGTCGAAGCTGGAGTCGTTTAACGATGAGCGAGAGAAGGCAGCTCGGCACGACTACATCTGCCCAGGGTTGTACCCTTGAGGCTACGATCAAATAGTTCTGGCAGCCAGCCGTAAAACTGTCCCAGGCTTGAATTCGGAGAAACATGTCCACCCAACTCTTGGCTCAGCGCCGTCATGCTTACAGTTGAGAAAGCCACTGAGGAGTTGGCTCGCCTGCGGCATCTTGGCTGAAACCACAGAGACCACCCTGCAAACGTCAAGCAGGCGTTGTCAGGTCAAGTTTTTCGACACGTGAAGTTTGTCGTGCGGCTATTTGTGCCGAGGATAGAAGTGACGAGGTACCAGGCACCGGAGTTCCTGGGGCCTTGGGCGTGTCTGAGACAGGTCAGCCTGTGCTTGGCTGCAGGCCGGGGATTTTAGCCCCACGGTCCCAGGGGAACGGAAGAGCCTGGAGGCTCGAAGAGGACTATATTATGTTATAGAATAATAGACTTTATTATATTACACTGTACTATGTTATATCATATTATGTTACCTTATATTATGTTAACTTAGTCCAGTGGCACATGTCCCCCTCCCCCCGTCAGACGCTCAGAGGCGGACCAGGTAGCCTTCGAAGGCGTCAGTGAGAATGAGTTGGGCGCTCAGACCTTGGGACATTTCGACGATGCGGGTGACTTCGCCTTGTGGCCGAAGGACGCACCCAAGCAGTGCGAACGATGGAGCCGCACTGGCACGCTTTGGGACGCAACGACACAACTGCATTTTTGCCAGTTGTCATTGATCTGCTCAGGGGGAAAGCTGGAAGCGAATATCCAGTGTTCAAAAGGCGCAGTTTTGCAAGCGTTCAAGATGTTGGGGTTATCGTCCCGCTTCTGCCGGGCGCCAAATTCTGCCTGTGAGTAAGGCAATCGCCGCCGGCCTCTCTCTCCGTGAACTTTGGACGTCTCAGAACATCGGGACATTTGGGAAGAGTTTTTGCCCGAAGCCACCAAGAAGACCTTTGCTGTTGGCCCGGTTCAGGAGAAGTACGGCCTACTTGGAGGAGATCAAGGATGAGCAGCTCAGGCCGGACATTAAGATCAAGCCGTGGCCGTCCATGGCACTGCTTGAGCCGTTTCCAAACAGGGCTGCTGCCTCCATGTCTGCGCAAGCGGATAGCTGGGAGGCCGTTGTTTCGAGCTGGAAAGGTCGTGGGCACTTGACCTGTGGGGCCGCGGGGTGAATCTGCAGGAGCAGATGGTGCAGAAGCCGGCCTATGGCTTTATCATTTCCCCACATGGTCCCAAGAGAACCCTGCTCGCAGACCTTTTGTGTGAAGTCAAAGAGTGGCAAAGGGTGTCCCATCCGCTTATGAGCAACATGTGCTGAATCAGCCAGCACCAAGGAGTGGCATGGGATTTCCTCTCCATGTTGCTACTCTTTTATGCAACCTGTCCTGTTTCCGCACCTGAGCCGACTCTGGCAGTGTTTGTGATGTGAACCGATGACTGAGGATGTTGTAACAATTCCGCTTACAGCCTTTGACCCTGCGCCTGGGCAAAGTTTTTGTTAGCTCCGAAGGGTGTCAAAATCAACGCAGCAGGCTAGGAACAGGCTTTTACGGTCGCGTCTTCAGTCTTGAACTGAGGATCCAACAACGTTCACGGATGTGCAACCTGCCAGAAGAGGGCAGGCAGATTGAAGCCACATTCGAACATGACTTCGCTTCGACCTCCAAGGATGGACTGGATCACGCAGATCTTCTGGACCTGTGACATCGGAATGTCCTTGATCACCGGTTTCGTCCAGGAAGGCTCGGTCGTATGCTTGTCGCCGTTCCCGACCATGTGTCATTCTTGGGCACTGAGATCCCTCAGAGTCTTTCTTTCTGCGGGCTTTCCCATCATGGAGGCACGGTCAATTCGAAACCGTGGCCCATCTTCATCAACTACTTGAAGCTTGGCGGTACTTCGCAAAGAGGCAAGGTCCCTAAGGTGTTCCTCTGACGACCCTTCCTAGGAAGACGTGGTTCATCTTGGACTTGCTACTCTACTGATCTCAGAAGGTTTCGTGCGAAGTGCGTGGCGTCAGCGCCCTGCCTCTGTGGGCTGTGAAACATCCCAAGGCTGGTCTGCGGCCCGGACTGGGTCTTCACGATCGTGTGGCTTGTCCAAGGAACTGATCATGCACAGGAAAGCAGGTGCAGTCTGTCCGTGAACCTGAGACAGTCTTTGAACTTGTGAAGATCCCTTCTGAGGAACATCTCCGGATCGCAGGAAGCAACAGATCCGGGGTCGGTGAACAGATTGCTACGCTCTCTTCGAGTGGTACCCTATCAGAACCAGAGTCGATTCACATAATCGCAGGCAGCCTGTGATGCTCAGTTCATGCGCAGAGGTTCGGACCGTCCGGCTGCTACGACTTGCAGCTTAGTAGCAGCTGGTGTGCTGCGGCGGGGAATGCGTCGTATTGCCACCGGCCACCGAAGCTACAGGTGAAACTCAAGCGGATCTTGGCCATGATCAAGGACCGAATCACTTCCGAGGCCTGGGGCCTCGGGCACGAGGGCACCAGAGCGTGGCTGATGCCAGAAGCAAAAGGAAGCTCAAAGCGGCTTATGCTTGCTGTGGAACCAAATCCATGTTTACAGTTGGAAGGCAGTTTTTATCCTGCTGAACATTATCCGCATGATCGTCCTGCCCTTAGCAAGTTGAAGGCCATGAACAGCTTGCACTGAGCTTTTCAGAGACCTATGTGCCTGTGAACTAAGCTGATGCTTCTTCTCGTGAATCATTTTATCGCGGCGACCTTCTACCTAATTGGCAGCCTTGGAGAGCCCAGCCATAATTGGCTGGATGTGCCTTGGTCTGCATTATGGCCGCACACTTGCAGGCACCTCTGTCGCTTCGTGCTTTTTCCAGCACCGTGTGGCTGGCTGGCTATAAGGCTTACAAAATGCAGAAGTTTGACGCGGATCTCTTCTTCCGCTACAGAGCCCTGGCGAGAGCGTTTGCTTTGCAAAATGCCCTTCAAGATTCGCTTTCAAGAGCGGCGCTACTTCGCAAGTAGCCGCAGGGTTTCGTTCTCAGGCACCAGCCTGCACTGGTCATTGACACAATTCACTCCAGCCTCTATGGACGCAGGGCGCCCGAACTGGCGTGGGGTCAAGATCGCACAGCACGGCCCAGAAAGCATTAGGTCCATCCTCAGAACGTTGCCGAGCGCTGCTTTGCCATCATGGTGCCATAGCTGCACAGGGTCCTGGGAGATCTTCGGGAAGAAGCAGCTTTGTATTCTGATTCGAAGGTACTGATTGCTGGCTTGGTCCTCTTCTCGTCTTTCATCAGCTCGATAACTGCCCGTAGCTCAATATTGGTCCTCGTGACTGGAGGGCACGCGATGAGCAAAGTGGCAGGGATCCATGTCGCAGCTTCGGAACATGCAAGCTGACCGCTCCAAGCAGCGCCCGACCCAGCTGGGCTTTTGACAAACCCAGACGGGCTAAGCATGTGTTGTTGCATGTCAGGTTTTGGCTTCTCCGGCGCTACCTCAAACAGCAGAAGGTTCCCATGGACTTGTGCTTCCGAGCAGCTGTGCTGCAGACGAAGCTTTCAATTTGGCCACGGATGCTTGCTGGGTCGACTGCGGCCACTTTGCCAGCGCACAGGTTCTGCGCTACACAGAGTATGTCAGATCCCCAGCATGTAACCATGTCCCACCTTGCCCACAGTGAAAGAACGGGACTGGCAAGGCCACAAGCACTTCCCACGACCGCGTTCCGGAGGGGTGACTCCGGCAGAACAGGTCTATTGAAGTTTCTTGAGTCGCAGGCCCTTGATCGGAATCGGTTTTTGTCCAGACGGAATGTGAGTGTTGCAGGAATTCGGAGTGCGAGCCCCATGCCTGGTGTGCCCCCGCCTTGATGCGGCTAAGGCGAATTACGATCCTCAGCTCTCTAACAGAGCAGCTCAGGACCGCGACTCATATCACGAGAACCCATCGCTAGGGCCGGGGCAGCGCAATCGTCAGGAATGAGCTGACCTTCTACACACACTACCGCAATCTCAAGAAGCACCCTGTGCTGCTTTCATGCAAGTAGCAATGCACTTGACAAGAGGCCTGTGCTCGCTTGTCGCTGTTCAGGTTTCTGCAAGTCGCCGGAATGAACGAGGCGAGAATTAGCGATGTCTACCTGCAGAGACTCTCGTGGTGTTGTGCTATCTTGGGCAGGCCGTCCTAAACCGCCTCGCGCTTGCATCACTGGTTGGCTTTCAGATCTTCTCGAAAGAAGAGGGCCTTTATGTGAACCTTTCGATTTCTAGATTGTAGACCTTCAAACTCAACCCTGAGCCCTACACCCCCGTGAAATCCTTATCGACTTGACCTGCCATGCATGCTCGTCTTTGCGAAGGAGGCCAACATTCCACGAACACATGCTTCCTAAGGTATGAGCGCACAGACTTTGAGCTCCATGGACCTGGCAGCTGGCGACCCCTTGTTCAGTCCCAGCCATAGCCAAGGGGCATCTATCTGAGACACGTGATGATGCAGAAACGTGCGCAGAGGAATAAATATGAGCATAAATGAACACAGGCCCAGGCAACAAGACACAAATACATCTCTCTCCCTCCCTCCCTCCCTCCCTCCCTCGCTCCCTCCCTCCCTCCCCTTCCCCCTTCCCCCTTCCCCCTTCCACTTCCCCTTCCCCTCGTCCCTTTCCCTTTTGCATGCATGCATGTATGCATGTATGTATGTGCGTATGCGTATGTGTATGCGTATGCGTATGCGTATGTGTATGTGTATGTGTATGTGCGTATATGTATATATATATATTTTTTTTTTGTATATATATATATGTATGTATTTGTATGCATATGTATATGTATATGTATAGGTAAAGGTATAGGTATAGGTATAGGTATATGTCTGTCTGCTTGTGTTGGAATTCGTGGAAAAATGCTGTATGCATACATGTATATATGGATACATGAAAAACGTACATGTGCACATCGGTATCAAAGAATGTGTATATGTATATATAGATATTTAAACGTGTGTATACATACATACATGCATACATACATACATACATACATACATACATACATATATATATATAAAGCATACCAACACCCCGAAGGAAGAAGAGACTACATGCATATGTGCATGCCAGATCTCGCTGTGGTGGACCACCAAGGCCTGGTCGATGCTTCCAAGCACATGTTCTTCATTGAGACTGGAGCCATTCGCTACACCGTGCATGACAGAGACACATCAAAGATTCGGAGGCAGGGGAAGGCGAATGCTGCAATTCTGGCCATTCTCTGTAGATCAAGATCGCGTGGCTGATGTCGCAAGGACCGTTGCTGACTCACAAGCAGATGCCGACGTGGACCCGAACATGTCCACTGCAGCTCGATAGAATGCCTGCTTGCAGCCATAGTTTGGTTCCCGGATCTCCACCAAAATTAACACTTTCGACATGATCGGATGCAAGCTAAGACCGTAGCGGCCCACGGGTCACGACGGCCATACGATCCAACTTTCCACCTAAAGCATGTCTTCACATAGTGTTGAACCTGAAGTTGGCCCCACATCCCCGGACTCCAACGCTCTGCACGATTAGAGACCTGGCTGGTGGTCATCCGAGGCACTGGGCAAGGCGAGGCCAGAGTAGTCCCGGCTTTGAGAACAGTACCGCCATATCCGAATGCTTAAACTCTTATGTCATGTTATGAGAGCAAGAGCTCTTAAGACCACGAGGCGGACTATTTGTGCGAAGTGGCTCTCTGGAGTTCCTTCCAACACGTCGGCGTCGCCCAGGCTTTGGCCCAGCTCTTCACTGCACATTTGGGTCCGCTGCTGTGGGAATGCCATGACTTGCAGGCCATGGCTGAGGCTAGCGTGATTCGCATTGAAGTCCTGACCTTCTGCGAACTCGTGCATAAGGCCCCGCATTGACAAACAGTTATTTGAGGCTGAAGCTTTCTTGCGCCCAAATTCATGCACCCTAGTAACTCTAGTACATCTGAGGGTGCCACACGATTTATCTTTTTCTGGGTCCTCTTTGTCCTACCCTGCAGGACCCAGAGCTGCGTGAGCTTCTGTCATTGTATGCGCACCGGCTCTTCGGCATATTCAAAGAGTCACCGACAACCCGGACCTCCCGCCAAAGATTTGAGCGATGCCCAGGTTCGTAGAGCACATGAACGAGCAATCGATTGAGTGGGTGGAGGTCAGCAGCCAGGCGGTGGGATGCCAGCACACGCTAGATTCTCATGAGAGTTGGGGCCTCCGGACTGCTGATTTCGGCCAGCCTGCCAGAACATAGGTGGCCAATGCACCGACCGAGTGAAGCTGCTTCTTGATGCTGGAACCCTTGGGTTGTAGGTCTGAGATCCCGGCCCTAAACCTAGGGGACTTGTCTAAAGCTAGTTTTCGAAGAGTGCTACGTGACTAGGCATTGGGCGCCTACATCCGTGTCTGTGCTCGAAATCAAGAACTTTCATAAATGAGTCGTTGCAACCCATGGGCTTCCTCACAAAGTTGCGAGGACCTGTCTCGGGGCATCTCGTGGCGCTCCCCAAAGTATCAGCACGCTGTCGTACCAACATCGGCGTCGTCGTCTCTCCTCGTCTTCTTCGTTGTCCTCCTCATCCTCTTCTTCCGGAAGAGGCATCAACAAAATGAAAATGCATAAACAAAAAACAATGCATCAACCGAAATTTAAAGATGCGCCAATAAGATGAAAGCATTTAAAGCTCTAGTGCCACAATTTGGAAGGGAAGCCAAAAGAAAAGGAATGATAACAAGAAGAAAAGGAAAGACAAATAACAAGATAACGAAATGAGGGAAAGCAATAAATAAATAACTACTATAGAAAGAAGGAAATAGTGAAACAACCAAAGACACAAAGACACAACAACATAATAAGACAGAGAGAGAGCAGGAAAGAAAGAAGGACTGAAAGAAAGAAAGCCAACAAGAAAGAACGACAGAAATAAAGACAGAAGGAAAGAACGAACGCACGAAATAACAAACGAGCAAAATAAATAAACAAAGACATAACGAAAGAGGCAAAGACAAAAATGCAACAACTAATAAAGGAAGAAAGAAAGAATGAACCACCACACAAAGACCAACGAAAGAAGGAGGAAATCATGAAAGAAATAATGAACGAGAGAAAGAAAAAAGGAACCACGGAAATAACAAACCACATGCGAACAGCGAAATAATGAACGACAGGAAATCGGGAGATATACAGATAGAGAATAAAGCATATGATATGTGTATATGTACATACACATACATCTGCATATTACTGTATGTTGTCTGTATGTACATTATTCAGACAAATGTAAACGTATAAACAAACACACACATACTTGTACAAAGCATATCTCTCTCCTTACATATATATATATATGTACACACATTACACTACGTACATACATGCATTCATGCATACACATACATACATATACACAGACACATGCACACACATGTACGTACATATACATACACATATACATACTGTACACATACACATAATTAATATGTACATGTACATGTACCTATATGTTGTAATGTATGTAGTTGGTCGGGATTCGCCAACTGGGGAGCCAAAACATGTACATGTACCATATGCACACACACACATATATATATATACACACATATACACGCAAATGCATGCACACATATATGTGTTGAAATATAAACATCAGGGGAAGTATAAGTATAAGTATAAGTTTACAAATATATATATATATGTGTATATGTATATACATAGGCTGCGTGTTAAACGCTCGGCTCCCGTCGCTCGAGATGAGCTGACAGGCTCAAGTTGAAGATGAGCCTAGAGAGTTCCTGTTACCGCCCTAAACCTCGCCTGACCTAGTCGAGCTCGAGTGCCAACATGTTTGTGTCCGTGCATATATTCCGTATAGACACACCCAGGTCATGTGTAGTGTGCACGTGTGCGTATATACACACAAACTTATATAGATATATTTATGTGTACATGTAGACTGTGCACAACTACACACGCACACATTCGTTTTTATATGCATGCATACATACATACATACATGCATACATACATACATACATACATACATACACACATACACACATATGAATGCCTGCCTCTAAACCCTGAACCTTGTCCGAGTTTTGAGCGCCGAAACCCTAAACATGCTCAGAGAAACCGAAACACCGTATGTATGTATGTATGTATGTATGCAATATATACGTATGCATGCTATAGATATCTGATGCACATTTGCAATGTAAGTAGTATTTTGTCGATGCGAAACATTGCATGACAATAAGTATGCTTCTATTCAGTATAATATGATGTAAGAGAGTCTCATTAAAGAAGCATTAAGTATCCATTCGAAAATGGTTCCATTTTTCTGACTCCGGAAGTGGTGCTGTGAACCGGAATCGCTTTAAGATATATGATGCACCGGAATCGCCAAATTGAGGGGGGGGGTTGTTTGAGATATATGATGAACCGGAATCGCCAGATGAGGGAGCTTTTTTTAAGACATATGATGACTGAGCCGGAGACGCCATATGAGGGGGCGTGTTTAAGATATATGATGAACCGGAATCGTCACATGAGGCGGGCGTGTCTGGAAATTGTAATCTCCCAACAGCTTGACGCAGAGCAGGAGCCTCGAAATTGTAATCTTTCGATTCGTTGTGGCTTCAAGCAGAACACTCCGGTGCCATGTGTTGTGATGTCGATCTGTCACGGCATCATAGGAGGCGACAGGCATCGGAACTTTGGTTGTGGTGCCGTGTTGCCAAGGCCAACATCAGCGGCATCTTGCGTTGTCGGACCACTTTTGCCTAGCAGAGACCTCTGGGCCAGGAATCGAAGCGTTTCACCGACGACTTCTTCCAGGCGCAATGAGGATGAGAAGGCAGGTCGGACTCTCATCGGATCAGAAGCCTTCGGAAGAACTTGCAAGCGTGAGTTGCTTCAGGCAAGACGTTGGATCTGCTCTCAGTCGTCAGGAGTTCCTAGGCCATAGCTCTCGTGCAAGAGCCCAACAGAATTTGCATCGTCGGATCCTTGGATATCCTTGGGTGATATTTCAAGGCTTGAGCAGCATTTCCCGAATCTGTTGCGGTGCTCAAAGAGTTTGGAGTAGAATCAGATGCCACAGGACCTGTCAAAATACCATAATGCCATTGCGCCAAAGAAAACTCGTGTATTGCGATGAAATGCTGCGCAAGCTACCCGCTACCCAGGCCACTCGGTGCAAAGTCGCTGTGTAGATGACAGGCGGTGGCAGGTAAATTTCGGTCACGTTGACGGCGCGAGAGAGCAGGAGTCCCCCCATTCCCCAGACAAGAAGAAGAAGAGGGCACATGTGGGAAGGCAGACAAAGATCAGGCGGGCAGATACTAAACGCAAGCAAACCTGGTCGTGCCAAACGGCCGCCGTTTCACAAATTCGGCAGTTAAGCTGCTGAGTTCAACAGCAGGAAGCTCACAGGCTTGGGGCGGCCCGAAAGAGAAGTTGGTTCGAGAGTGAAGAGGTTTTCGTGAACGAGTTTCGGACCCCACCTGGCCTCGTGACCTGTACACTTTGACCAGTTTTGGGGTTTATCAATCCCTTTCCTGGCTAATTCAATGGCCTGGAAACAGGCCACCGTTGCCAGGGCTCAGCGACATGCCCGACGTTCCGCCAAAAGGGTTCGAATTAGGCAACCCAGGCCATGCTGTTTACGTCAATTTTTCCTTGTGCTCCGGCATGCTGCGTTGCCGTTTAGGTTCTAGGCCCTCGAACACTGACTGGATGGATGTGAAAGGGCTTCTCCTGCAATTGTGCGTTTGCAGGCGTCCGTTGAATGCAGCCAGGAGCCCGGCGCGGCTTGATAACCCACATCACAATCGTTCCCGCATCGGTGACGCCGTCATCATGACCGGCTGCGCCAGTTCGTCCGAAGTCTGTGAAATGGATGTTTTGTCCAGTGCCGTAGATGAATATTTGCACTTGCTTCGGTATTACACTCGCAGAGAGCACCAAAACAGTATGACGACAAGACGAGGTGTATCGAAGCAGACCCAAAGGATCTTGCATTCATCATGGCACGTCTTCTAAACGAACAAGTCTTTGGGTGTGCGAGGTGAGGAGATCGTGCTGGAATTATATGGAATTAGTTTGTTTTGAGGGCACTGTCAGCAGGAGGTCCTGCTCCAATCGCAGCAGCAATCGAATTGGACTAACCCCATGCTGCTGCCGCATTTCTTGTCGCCACCGCACCTTTGCCAGCGAAGCTCGCGTACTACCGAGGATGGTTCGCCTTCTGGCGAACATCTTGGGCGTGAGTTATGCCCTGACTGCCGCATGCTTAGCAACTCTCTCTCTCTCTCTCTCTCTCTCTCTCTCTCTCTCTCTCTGTGCAAGAGCGGGGTTGGTTCTTTGCTCCCGGCCGTTGTCAAAAGAAGTGCGAGCCCATCTTCAGGTGGAGAAAGATGGAGCACCCAGTGAACTGCCTCCTGCTATGATGCTGCCTGATTCTCAGCTAAGCAGCTAAGTTCTGCCCAATTGTCTTCACCGCCTTTGGCCCAGATCCGAAGAGCAAGCGCATGATGGCTCATGTTCAGCGACTCAGGCCCCCTCGTGGTGGGGTCTTCTGCCGAGGGAACGGCTGCCCCTACAGTGAAGCAGGTTACGCCCTAAGTTTGCATCAACTTGCCTGCTGTTCCACTGTGCAGAAAGTGCTGGCGTGAGAGCGCGCGCGCATCAACGCGCACGTGCAATCGTTAGGGCCGTTAGGAGGCCGATCGCTTCAGCCATTGAGGTCCGAGTCCAATCCGCCCACCAGAACGGACCCCCCCCTCCCGCAGGGATGGCGTTCGTCTCATTCGTCCCTGTCGCCGCCGCATCGGGCCCCACGTTCGCGCTGCCTGCGCTGCCCAGGGTGCCAGCCAGCTCAGTCCAGGCCCCTATGGGTCGTTCGGGGACAGACCAGCAGTTTTCGCCGCCGACAGCAGCAGCAATCGCAGCTCTGGCGGCTGGATGTACCGCTGTGGGTCGCCCGAAGGGCACGAGGTTGCGGATCCAACGCGAGGCAGTCGGCCGGCGTGGAGGTGTGCTCGCCGGCCTCGCCGTTGCCGCCGCGGTGGCTCGACCCAAGCCAGCAAACGCCGCCGAGAAGCTCGCGAAGCAAACTGCAGAGAAGGTCCAGGCAGACATCGAGCAGATTATCAAGGCTGACCCGAACAAGGGACCGACACTGGTCCGACTGGCCTGGCATTCATGCGGCAGCTACGATAAGGTCTCGAAGACTGGAGGTTCTGGCCCCGGAACTATCCGCTTCAAGGAGGAGCTTGCGCACGGTGGCAATGCGGGACTCGACAAGGCAGTCACGTGGCTGGAGCCGGTGAAGCAGTCCAACCCTAGTATCAGCTATGCTGACCTCTACACCCTCGCCGGCGTGGCCGCCATCAAGGCTCTGGGTGGCCCGGACGTCCCATGGCGTGCTGGACGTGTTGATTCCATGAGCCCCAGTGATGTGACGCCCGACGGCCGGCTGCCCAACGCCTCCAACGGCTCCGCCCAGAAGGACGTTGACCATCTGAGGGATGTCTTCTACCGCATGGGTTTCAATGACCAGGAGATCGTCGCCCTCAGCGGCGCTCATGCCCTTGGCCGTTGCCACGCGGATGCCTCGGGCTTTGTGGGCCCATGGACCCCGACGCCTACAACATTCAACAATTTGTACTTCAAGCTCCTCAAGAATTCCAAGTGGGAGGAGGGCTGCATCAAAGGGGAGACTTGTAAGAACCCTCAGTACCGCAATGCTGATACGCAGCAGTTCATGATGCTCCCTACGGACATCGCGCTCTTGAAGGATCCCAGCTTCAGCAAGTATGTCGACCTCTACGCCGACGACCAGAAGGTCTTCTTCAAGGACTTCTCCAAGGCGTTCTCAACGTTGCTTGAGTTGGGCACGAAGGACCTCTACACGGTGGTCTGAGTTAGGAGGCACGAAGTGCAACATATAGATCGTTTTGAGCCGTTTCGGGTGTGCTCCCACTGTGGGCGCTCCCTGTTCCTGTGCCAGTAATTAGCTAGAACTAGATTCGCTCGTGCGAGTCGAACTATATGTGCTCATCACAGCATTAAAGCTGCGGTCAAGACAACCTTTTGAAGTTGGCGAGCAGCTCGGGCACAGATTTGGAGTCAATTTGGAATAATCTGCCAGCACATGCCAGACATCTCAGATCAGAATCCCTAACTGTCGCTCTCGGACTGTGCGGACAATTGGTCCCCCTTAGCGGACCAACCCGGATCAACCACGCACTCAGATGAGCTTTGCGACAGGGTCCATCGGTTCGTTCCTGCTTGATGTTGCAAGGAGTGGTTGGCGGACAGCAGATCATGGGCCACACTCAGACAGAGCAGGCACTCAGCAACAGTTTAAGAGAGTAAAACTTGACCGCCAGAGCCAGGGCTTGGTTTCAGTGATGAGCCGTCAGGGGGCTGAAGCAGCACCTCAAACACGAACCCCGCACACATTCCTTTCGAACAGCCGTTCTTCCAGGGGGTGGAAGAGCAGGCAAAGGCCGCCTTAGCCATCGGCATGGACCGGCAGCTTGTCCATTCCACAAGCCTTGCCACATTGTGGTTGTCTTCTTGAGAGTGCTTTCTGAATTCTGGTGCAGGATGCGCTCCTTGCTAGAAAGGAGTTCTGCCGAGGCCAGCTTGGCGCTGTCGGGGCAATTGTAGCTTCCATACTCTTGGAGACTGGGCTTTACCTGCCTATCCGGGTCCTACCTGCCTTCCAACCTACCTGCCTCACCCACCTCACCTAGCCCACCTGCTGCCTGCCTACCTGCCTGCCCACACACCCACCCCACCCACACCCACCTGCCTAGTCGACTGCGACAATGACTGCTGCAGTGAGTGAGAGCCAGCATGTCGTTAGCACGCAGAATTGAGGCTCCAGCTGCCAGGCCGTCTTCGAATACACATACATACACAAACACAAAGGGGAACATACATTCATACATGAAGACATGCATGCACACATGCAGCCGTGCACACACGAGTAGGTCCCTGCATCCTTGCCCAGATACATAGACACGCACATACAAACCAACGAACAAACATACGTACATGAATGCAAAGATACCTAGATTTGGACATACTCAGACACACACATACATACATACATACATACATACATACTTCCTTCCTTCTTTCCTTCCTTCCATACTGACTGACTGACTGACTGACTGACTTACTTACTTACTTACTTACTTACTTACTTACATCCTTCCTTCCTTACTTGCATGCATGCATGCACACACACACACACATCCATCCATCCATCCATCCATCCATCCATGCATGCATGCGTGC